TTAGGGTTTAGGGTTTAGGGTTTAGGGTTTAGGGTTTAGGGTTTAGGGTTTAGGGTTTAGAGCGTGACGAAGTAGAGAAGTCCTTGGAGGGGTGAACCCCCTCTTATTATTCAACCTGCTGATTTAGGGTTTAGGGTTTAGGGTTTAGGGTTTAGGGTTTAGTGTGTAGCGGGTTCCAGGGAAAGGCTGTAGGTCTAGACGCGAGGCTAACCGTACTTAGGGTTTAGGGTTTAGGGTTTAGGGTTTAGGGTTGCCGTAGGGCTGGAGGGTTTAGAAGTATTGTTTGGTGTATATAATTTAGGGTTTAAGGCTTAGAGATTAGGGTTTAGGGTTTAGGGTTTAGAGGTACTGTTTGGTGTATATCGTTTAGGGTTTAGGGTTTAGAGATAAGATCGATTGTATCTAGGGTTTAGGGTTTAGGGGTATTGTTTTGAATCCATATTTTAGGGTTTAGGCATGAAACGTAAAATTTGTTGTTTAATGTGCATGGGTTAGGGTTTAGGGTTTAGGGTTTAGGGTTTAGGGTTTAGGGTTTAGGGTTTAGGGTTTGGGGGTGAGATCCGGGAAGATGCTGCTAGGGTTTAGACAATAGAACACTCATAGACAGTTCGACATCATATATAATAAAAATTTAATACGTAGGGTTTGGGGTTTGGGGTTTAGGGTTTAGCGTTTAGGGTTTAGGGTTTAGGGTTTAGGGTTTAGGGTTTAGGGTTTAGGGTTTGAGGCGGTAAGCGGCGAGGCCCCGATTGTTGAAGACCTTCAAAGGGTTTATTATTAAATGCATACACCCTTTTCCTTAGAAGAAATCTAGGGTTTAGGGTTTAGGGTTTGATTTCTATTGTTTATAATTTAGGGTTTATGGTTTGCGTTCTAGGTTTTAGGGTTTAGGGTTTAGGGTTTAGGGTTTGGGTGTCGGCTGTACCCTGTGGTGCGCCGATCTGCATGGTTTCGTCTAAAGGGGGAAATATTTATGTTGAGGGTTTAGGGTTTAGGGTTTTAGGGTTTAGGGTTTAGGGTTTGGGGTGTATGTACACCTCAGTAGAATCCAAACACCAGCCGCTGCAGCGGCATTCTTCTTGCTGCTGTCGTCGATGCTGCAGCTGTTGCAGCAGCAACAGCTGCAGCAGCAGCTGCAGCAGCAGCTGCAGCAGCTGCAGCTCGGGGCTGTCTTTAAACCCCTCTTCTTTGGGGCTTTAAGAAGGCGCTGCATGCACCTTTCCTGCTGCACGCTGCTGCAGCTACGGACCCCCAGCAGCAGCAGCAGCAGCAGCAGCAGCAGGGGTTCGTGGGTGCCTTCTGTGTCTCAGAGGCGAGCATTTAGTATTGCTGCTGCGGCAGCCCTGCAGCCAGCAGCAGCAGCAGCAGCAACAGCAGCAGCATCAGAGGCTGCAGTTGATGTAGGAGTAGCAGCACCAACGAAAGAGCAAGCAGCAGCAACAGCAACAGCAGCAGAAGCAGCAACAGCAACAGCAGTAGAAGCAGCATCGGCAGAGGCAGCAGCAGAAGAAGCAGCAGCAGAAGAAGAAGCAGCAGCAGCAGCAGCAGCAGCAGGAGAAGCAGTTAGCCTTCATTTCGTCTGGAGAACAGCAACCGGCGGCAGCAGCAGCTGGAAGTGTCTCCATGCTTGCAGCAATTTGCTGCTGCTGCGGCTGCAGCAGATACAACGCGATGCTGCAGCTACACTGCAGCAGCAGCAACAACAACAACAACAGGAGCAGCAGCAGCAGCAACAGGAACAGCAGGCGGAAGAAACTACTGCCCTCTCGATAGAGCACATTGAGGTAATACAGCAGCAGATTCTGCTGCTGCTGTTGCTGCTGCTACTGCTACTGCAGCCGTTGCTGTTGTTGCTGCTGCTGCTGCAGCTGTTGCTGTTGTTGTTGCTGCTACTACTGCTGCTGTATGTATTTCTTAATGTGTCTTACTGAGCATATGTAAGAGATCTACGCTGCTTTCTTTACTAGTGCTGCTGCTGCTGTTGCTGCTGCTGCTGCTGCTACTGATGCTGTTGTTGCTGCTGCTGCTGCTGTTGCGGTGTATGTACACCTCAGGACTTGGCGTCTTCATTTTATTTGTCTGCTGCACTTCGTCTGCCTGACCCCGCGTTGCATGCAGCGCTGCATGCAGCAGCAGCAGCTGCTGCTGCTGCCCTCAAATCCCTTAGATTAACAGCAGCAGCAGCAGCAGCAGCAGCAGGGACAACTGCAGGTGTTGCTGCTGCCACGGATGCAGCAGAACCGACTCACAAAGCAGCAACAGCAACAACAGCATCAGCAGCAGCAGCAGATGCTGCTGCTGCTGCTGCTGCTGCACTGGGAAAGATAGGCTTGAGGCCTTTGGCGCTGCTGCTGCGGTGTATGTTCACCTCTCCAAGCAGCAGCAGCATTGATGTAGCACTGCAGCAGGCGTTGCAGCTGCCGCCTGCTGCTTTGACGGATGCTGCTGCTGCAGATGCTGCTGCTGCTGCTGCTGCTCCTGTGGCTCTCCGCATGCAGCAGCACGCTGCACTCTATGAAGAAATTCTTACAGGGGTTTTGCTGCTGACGCAGCGCAGCAGTTATCCTCCTGCTGCTCTTATCAATTGTCTGCATGCATGCAGCAGCAGCATTAGCAGCAGCAACAGCAGCAGCAGCAGCAGCAGCAGCAGCGGCAGTTTGGAGTACAAACGCCGCAGTGAGTCGGGAAGGCCAACGCTCTGGCTGCTGCTGTTGCAGCTGCAGCTGTTGCTGTTGCTGTTGCTGCTGCTGCTGCGACTGCTGCTGCTGCGATTGCTGCCCGTTTTGGCGCCTTCCGTTGTTGTTGCTGCTGCTGCTGAATCGCTGCTGCTGCTGCTGCTGCTGTTGCTGTTGTGGTTTGTGCTTCTCCTGCAGCGGCAGACGATGCTGTTGAGCTGCTGCTGCTGCAGCTAAAGAAGAAAGAAACAGCAGCAGCATTGCAAGTACAGGAAGCTGTCGATTTACTTCAGGCGCTGCTGCTGCTGCACACACATTCAAAGCAGCATGTGAGGCTCTTGCGGTTGCTGCTGCTGCTGCTGCTGCTGCTGTTGCTGCTGTGTCTTCTGTTGCAGCTGCTCTCGCGCTGGGTGTAACACTGGGTGTGGCTGCTGCTGCTGCTGCTGCTGTTGCTGCTGCTCCATTTGCTGCTGTGTCTCTGTTTGCTGCTTTTGCTGCTGCTTTCCTTGGTATTGCTGCCGTTGTTGCTGCTGCTCTAGAGTTGTTGCTGCTGCTAGAGTTGTTGCTGCTGCTAGCGTTGTTGCTGCTGTTGCGCTGCTGCTGCTGCTGTGCAGGCTGTTGCTGCTGCAGCAGTGCTACACAGCGTCAGCAAAGCGTTGCTGCTGCGGAACGAGTTGTTCGTGCGGCAGCAGCTGCAGCAAGTGGTTGGAGCAGCAGCAGCAGCAGCAGCAGCAGGAAGGAAGAACGACTTTGTTTGTCTCCTGAGCCCAGCAGAGCTTTCTCTTTTGCTGACAGCAGCAGCAAAATATAAATACTTTGAAGAGGTGTGTCTCCACATACTGTTGCTGCTGCTGCTGGTGTTGTTGCTGCTTTTGCTGCTTGCATGCAGCAATCTGCTGCTTCGTATCCGCATGCATGCGCATTCTGCTGCTATTGCTGCTGCTGTTGCTGCTGCTGTTGCTGCTGCAGGATCTGTGGGGCTTTTGCTCGACGCATTTGCTGCAGCACCTGCAGCAGCACCAACAGAAGCAGAAGCAGCAGCAGCAGCGGCAGCAGGAGCAGCAGCAGCAGCAGGGTTTGTTGCCGCTTCATCTTGCTGCAGCAGCATACGCTTGTGCTGCTGCACCTCCTGGCCTGTCTCGGGTTCAGCAGCTGCTGCTGCAGATTGCTGTTGCTGCGCGGCAGCAGCTTGCTTCTTTCTCGCTCCCACAGATGAGTCAGGTAAACAATATTTGCTTCTTGCATGCAGCTGCAGCTGCTGCTGCAGCTGCTGCTGCTGTAGCTGCTCTTGCTGTTGCTGTTGGTGCCGTTGCTCCTGTTGCTGTTGCTTCTATTGTTGCTCTTGCTGCTGCTGCTTATGCATTTAGGACATATGGTTTAGGGTTTAGGGTTTAGGGTTTAAAGTTTGTGTTGCAGCTGTTAGGGTCTCTAATTAGAGGAGGTGTAGACTGCCGTTTGCTGCTGTCTAGATGTTCTGTGCTGCTGCGGCAGCAAGCAGCAAACGGGTTGCTGCAGCAGCAGCAAATCACAGGTTCGATTGCTGCTGCTGCTGCTGCTGTTTGCGCTCCAGCTGCTGCTGGTACTGCTTCTTTTGATGCTCCTGCTTCTACTGCTGCTGCTAGTTTTGCTGCTGCTGCTGCTGTGCTGCTACTGCTGCTGCTGGTCTTGTCGCTGCCCCTGCTGCTACGACTCCTACTGCTGCTGCTGCTGCTGCGCGCTGTGCAGTACTCATTAACGTGCATATCTGACGTTGCTGCTACTGTTTGGTGCTGGTTGTTCTTGCTGCTGCTGCTGCTGCTGCGGTTGCTGCGTCGCTTTGCTGCCTCGGGGGCTGCCGCAGCCTCCGAACCCTTAAACCCTAAACCCTAAACCCTAAACCCTAAACCCTAATTTGTGTTGTTTATTGTTATTTAGGCCGCCATTTGATTAATTTAATCACCGCCTACAGTCGAGGCGGAGTAAAAGAAGAAAAAATATTTCGCTTAGCAGCAGAGTTGCTGCTGCAGCATCCAAGCACGCAGCAGAGGTGCCTATACACCCCAATGCATGCATGCATGCATGCATGCAGCAGCAGCAGCAACAGCAGCAGCACGTTGCTGCTGCAGCAAACAGAGAGCATGAGCAAGAGAGACAGAAGGAGACAGAAGAAGAGACACAAGTTGCAGAAGACAGACAACAAAAATATACTTCAATCCAACAAAAAAGGGTTTAGGGTTTAGGGTTTAGGGTTTAGGTTTTGTATATCTCTTCAGGCATGCAGCACAGACGCTGCTGCTGCAGCAGCAGCCGCAAGATGCTGTCGCGCTGCTGAAGGCGCTGGGAAAGGCTAAAATGCTGCACCGGCCTCTAATGCAGGTGAGCTGCTGCTGCTGTTGCTGCTGCTGTTGCTGCTGTTGCTGCTGCTGTTGCTGGTACTGTTGCCGCTGATGTTGCTGCTTCTACTGTTGTTACTGTTGCTGCTGTTGCTGTTGCTGCTCTAGTTTCTGCTGCAGCTGCTGCAGGTGTGCCACTGCAGCAGGAGTAGCAACAGCAGCAGCATCTGCAGAATCTGCTGCTTCTGCTGTAGCTGTTGCTGCTGCTTTTGCTGCTGTTTATGATGCGTTTGTTTGTGTTTTGTTTGTTTTTGTTTTATTATTTTAATAGCAATTAACCCTTCTTCTTGAAGAAAACATATATTCTTTATCTCCAGCAGACAACATCGCTGTACTTCGCTCCCTGACTCGGGTGAGGTGTATGTACACCTCAGCAGCAGCAGCAGCAGCTGCTGCTGCTGCTGCTTCTGCTGCTGCTGCAGCTGCAGCAGGAGCAGGAGCAGCAACTCCAGCGGTTCTACACAACTGCAGCAGAAGCGGCAGCTGCCGCTGCAGCAGTAGCAGCAGCAGTAGCAGGAGCAGCAGCAGGAGCAGCAGCATCAGTGGTAGCAGCAGCAGTACCTGCATATGCAGCTATAGCAACAACAGCAGCAGCTGTAGTAGGAGTAACAGCAGCAGCAGCATCAGTAGCAGCAGCTGCACCTGCAGCGCAGCAGCAGCAGAAGTATTGCTTCTTCTTTAATTCAAATAATTAAATTAATTTTTTTTGTTTTTGCTTGCAGCTTGCATACAGCGCACCGTCGCTGCAGCAGCGCTTGCTGCTGCGGTTGGCTTGTATAGACACCCCACCGCAGCAGCAGCAGCAGCAGCAGCAGCAGCAGAGGGGCGTGGACGAACTTCAGCATGGAGAGGTGTCTCCTTCTCAGGCGCAGAAAGAGCAGCAGCAGCAGCAGCAGCAGCAAGAGCAGCAGCAGCAGCAGCAAGAGCAGCAGCAGCAGCAGCAGCAGTTGCTGCTGCAGCAGCATCTTGGTGTAGAGGAGTGTTTAGTAATAAAAGAAGCAGCAAATTGTTTTTCTTTGGTTGTGCCCGACCCTCTGCAGCAGCACCTCAACAGCATTATAACAGAAGAGGTATTTGTTTATTTAATTTAAATTTTATTTGTTTGTTTGTTTATTTGTTTGTTGGTTTGTTTGTTTGTTTATTTATTTGTTTGTTTATTTGTTTGTTTGTTTATTTGTTTGCTTGTTTATTTATTTGTTTATTTATCTTTTATTTATTTATTTGTTTAAATGAAGGTTTATTTGTTTGTCTTAGTAAAAATATTTGTTTGCTTTGTTTGTTTTTATTAATGAGTTCTCTCTTATAATTATGCTATCAGCATTTGTTTATTTGTCTGTTTGTTTGTTTGTTTGTTTATTTGTTTATTTGTTTATTTGTTTATTTGTTTGTTTATTTATTTTATGTATTTATTTGTTTATTTGTTTATTTGTTTGTTTTTTTGTGTTTATTATTGCTGTATATTCTTATCAATATATTATTTATGCTGTTGTTTGTAATTGTTTTTCTTTTTTAATTTATTTATTATTGAAGTGTTTACAATATACATATAATATATTTTATTAATTTGTTTTTATATGTAAGTTGTTTTATTAATTTGTTTGTTTAGCAATCTAGTTTGTCTAATAATTTATTGTATGAATTTGTTTTATAATTTATTATATTGATGCATTTGTTTATGTATTTGTTTATTTTGATAAATTTATATTTATTTGTTTATACTTAGACAAAGTTATTTTAATTTATATCGCTTTTCTTGTTTTTTTCTGTTGCATGCGTTGGGGTGTATACGCAGCTCCAAGCGGGCAACAGCAATTTAATTCAAACTTTTTGGAGTCCTTCTGCTCCTTATCGACGTAAGTGGAAAAAAACAAGAAAATTAAAGACTTCTTGGTGAATATATTCAAAAAAATAAACAAAATAGTGCTGATTTTGTACAAACACAAATCCACAGCGTAGCTGCATATACACCGCAATAAATAATTCAAAACTTCAGGTGTATATACACCTCAAATAGACAAACGTGATATATATATATATAGATTACATATATATGCATATATATATATATATGCATGTAATATATATATATATATAATATATATATATATATTACATAAATGTAATATACAAAACAAAACGACAGGAGATACATATTACTCCATGCAGTACTATATATAAATTTCTTTCTGCTTGTTTTTTATTTTAAAAAACATTAAAATTAATTTTATTGGTTTTGTCTGCACCAAACAAATATCAAACAAAATTCTCTCCGCCTAATTGCTGGCGCTCTAGGGTTTAGGGTTTAGGGTTTATCGTTTAGTGTTTAGGGTTTGAGGTTTATCACATATATATATATATATATATAGATGTTTGGGGTCTGAGGTTTATTGCTTAGAATTTAGTGCTTAGGGTTTAGGGTTTAGGGTTCATTTTTAAGGTGTTTTGCGTCGTTGTTTTGTTTTTACTATTTATTTATTTATTTTGACTTCAGTTATATTTGTTTCTGAGCTGTTAGCTCTCCTTTGCTTTTTATTTATTGTCTTCTTCGCCTCAGCTTCAAACGCTAAACCCTAAACCCTAAACCCTAAACCCTAAAAAGTATATTGATTTTGTATGTTTCTTCATTTCAGTGAAAGACAAGTAGGAGAAACAAAAAACAAATAAACAAAAACAAACAAACCCTAGACCCCAAACCCTAAACCCTAAACAACAAACCAACAGCAGCAGCAAAAATCCTCTCTTCTATTTGCTGCCGATCCCCTCAGCTGCGCAGCTAGCTATGCAAAGCTAGCTAGCTGGCTAGCTATACAGCTAGGCTCACAGCTAGCTATGCGCAGCTAGCTAGCTAGCTCTGTAGCTAGCTATACAGCAAGCTGAGAGGCTAGCTCTACAGCTAGCTAACTAGCTAGCTAGCTGCACAGATAGTCACACAGCCAGCTAAAAGGCAAGCTTCACAGCTAGCTAGCTAGCTAGCTAGCTAGCTAGCTAGCTCCACTGCTGCTAAGCAGCTAGCTACCTCCCCCGCTAGCTACACAGCTAGCTAGCTAGCTAGCTAGCCTGAAAGCAAACTAACAAACTAGCTAGCTAGCTAGCTAGCTAGCTAGCCAAAGTAGCTAGCTGAGATTAAGGCGAGAAGAAAGAAGAAGCATTGTTTGTGTAGATGCGAGAGGGGCGTAGTCTGCTGTCTGCATGCAGTTGATGTTCAAAGGGGAAGACATCAGCTAAGCAGACAGAAAAAACTGAAGACACGGCTGTCTCCTGCAGCAAATAAACAAACAAACAAATAAATAAATAAATAAATAAATAAATAAATAAATAAATAAATAAATAAATGTTTAATTTATTTTTCTTTACTTTTCTCGCTTTTGTTTGGTCTGACTGCTCGCCCTAGCTATTCTAATTTCACAAAAGCAGCAATAAAGACAGCAGCAGCAGCAGCAGCAGCAGCAATGCACGCAGAGCAGCAACAGAAGAAGCAGAAGCAGCAGCAGCTGCAGCAATGCACGCAGAGCAGCAACAGCAGAAGCAGAAGCAGCAGCATTAGCAACAGCAGCAGCAGCAGCATTAGCAGCAACGCTAGCAGCAGCAGCACCACCACCACCAGAACCACCAACATGAGCAGCAGCAGCAGCAGCAGCATGAGCAGCAACAGCAGCAGCAGCAACTATAAGTACATACCGCAACACCTGGTTCGCTGCACTGTGGAAGCTGCTGCAGCGACAAAACAGCAGAAGCAGCAACGCATGCATTTCGATTGCTGCGGGCCCAGAGAGGGACGCTCCGGGTATCTGCTGCTGCTGCTGCTGCTGCCGCTGCTGCATTTGCTGCTGCCTCGGCCTCCGCCGCCTGTGCAGCCTGTTGCTCAGCCTTCTCTACTGCAGCAGCAGCAGCAGCTGCAGCAGCAGCAGCTGCTGCTGCTGTTTCTGCTGCTGCCTCAGTACCTGCAGAAGCGGTGCTGTTTGGCGCTGCTGCTGCTGCTGCTGCTGCTACTGATGCGTGTTGTGCTGCTGCTGCTGCATTGGTCTTTGCCTGTGCAGCAGCAGCAGCAGCAGCAGCAGCCTTTCTAGCAGCAGCAAGAGCAGCTTCAGATGCCTCTTGAGCTCTAATTTTTTTATCATTTGCTGCAGCTTGTGCTTCTGTTGCATGCATACGAAGCCGTTTCAGCAGCAAGTCCCTATCAAGCATCAGCAGCCGCTTCTCCTTCTCCTGCTGCTGCTGCTGCTGCTGCTGCTGCTGCTGCTGCTGCTGCTGCTGGAGGAAGCGTCTGCTGCTCCAGATACCGCACTGGCCTGACAGATTAGCTGCGCGAATTTCTGTGCATGCTAACTGTCTGCAGCTGCTGCTGTCTATATCTGCACGCGCGAAGTCGAACGCATGCAGCAGCTCATGCAGCAGCAAATTCCTAAAAGTAAAATAGGAAGTATAATAATTGCTGCATATCCATATTGTGTTATGTTTAGGGCTAAACCCTGCTGCTGCTGCTGCTGCTCTTGCAGGTGCTCCTCTTGCTGCTCCTCCTGATCCTGATCCTGCTGCTGCTGCTGCTGTTGCTGGGGTGTCTGTACACCTCACGAATGCGAGTTCAGGGGGCTGCTGCATAGCAGACAGCGCATGCAGCAGCAGCTTCACTCTCCAGTGCTGCAGCGCTATTCTCGTGTATATCTTTGCTTGCTGCTGCTGCAGCCAACCTAAGCCTTCTTCAATAGACACAGGAGGCGAAGAAAACATATAACAACACCTCCCGCTGCTGCTGCTGCTGTTGCTGCTGCTGTTGCTGCTGCCTCCCCACCAACGCTTCAAGAAAGACCACGGGGAGGCTGTGCTGCCTGCTGCCTCTGCTGTTGTTGATGTTGCTGCTGATGTTGCTGCTGCTGTTGTTGCTGCTGTTGCTGCTGTGGTTGTTGCTCTTGCTGCTGGTGTTGCTGCCGTTGGTGCTGTTGCTGTTGTTGCTGCTGCTGCCGCTGGTGCTGGTGCTGCTAGTGCTCCCGCTTCTGTTGCTGGGGGTCTTACTGCTGCTGCTGCTGAAGGTTCAGCAGCAGCTGCTGCAGCAGCAGCTGCTGCAGCTGTGGGGGGCTGCTGCTGCTGCTGCATGTGGTTGTTCGTTGTCTTCTGTGTTTAAAATGCAATTTTAAGTTTAAATATATTCAAAGAGGTAAATAAAAGTCAAATAGAAGACAACAACAGCAACAGCAGCAGCAGCAGCAGCAAGAGCAGCAGAAGGAGCAGCAGCAGCTGCAGCAGCAACGCAACATATAAAATTATTCTTTTATTTGTTTTGTTTGTCGAATTATTTTCTTTTTACTTTGCTTAATATATTAAATATATTAAAATAAAAAAATATATATTTATTTTTACTATGAAAGTGTTTACTTCATTATCCTCGTTGCGGTGTACAGGCAGCTACAGGCTTTTATAATTAAATAAATATTTTTTATTTATTTGCTTTAAATATGGTTCAAATAAATATTTTAAATAAATATTTTTGTATTTTTAATATTTTATTTATTTATTTTGTTTTATTTTATTCTTTTCCTTCGCTTTAAAACCCTCAGCCTCACTGCTGTTTATTATTTATTTATTGTCTCAGTCATTGTCTTAGAAATAACATAATAATAATAATATAATTATAATAATAATAAATCAAATTAAATTAAATTAAGTTAAACTAAATTAAGAATTAAATTTATTTAATTTCATACATAAATATAAAGAATCCCCATACCCACTTCGGGTGTATAGTCAGCTGTTATTGCAGTTGTATTTGTTTATCTTTGAATTAATTAATTGTTTATTCATTTATATGAATATGATTATTTATATTTGTTATTCTATTTGTTTATTTATTTACTTATTTATTTCTTCTACAGCTCCTCTTTAGAGCAATGACATATATGCAGAGTCTAATAAACTCTTTTCTTTCTGTTGTTGTATCAAAAGATATTAATTAATCTTTTTGTTTCTGTTTATTTAAATATATTTATACATATATATACATATATAAATACAAATGTATATATATATTTATATATACATATATAAATACAAATGTATATACATGTATATATACACATATATAAATATATATGCATATGTATATATATATATATATATTTAAATAAAAAGAAGTAAAGAGATTAATTAATTAAATTTTTTGTTTTGTTTTCGGTTGGTTATTTACTTCTCTCTCCCTCTCTACGCTCTATATACAAAGTATATATAATTTATTAGTAAAATACACTTCATATATATACATATAATATATATACATATAATATATAATATATATTATATAATATATATATATATATATATATATTCAAATTATAT